AACAGGCTGGACACAGGGACAGCCACAGCATTCCCAGAGGGTAGTTCAAAGGATGCAAAGAGGAAAGCCAATAAATGTGTTTATACTTAGTAGAACTGGGGAAGAACATGGTTTGCATAAAATCCCAAACTGGTTTGGGTTGGGAGGGTCCTTACAGCTCACCTGATTCCACCCCCTGCCATGGGCAGGGACACCTTCCACTAGCCCAGGTTGCTCCAAGCCCCATCCAACCTGGCCTGGAACACTCCCAGGGATGTTTCTCCCCAACAGCCTCACCAGCCTTCCAGGGAGGAATTCCTTCCCTATATCTCACTTAACCCTGCCCTCTGGCAGTGGGAAGCCATTCCCCCTTGTCCTATCCCTCCAGGCCCTTGTCCAAAGTCCCTCTCCAGCTATGTTCATGGTTTCCAACTCACCTGAAGGTTGATACAAGTAAAAACCACGTGGCCATGAAGGGGATTTCATTTATGACTAAGCAGACTGGGCTAGAGGGAAGAGAGGAAAAACACGTATCAGATCTTCCCTTATCCAACATCCCTTCCAGGCACACGTAGGACATCCAGGCACAGAGCAGCACTGCAGTTTGCCCCCACAGCCACGAGTGCCACAGGCCAGAGCAGCTTGGCTGCACCTGCACCTTCACTTATAAGTTCTTCAGAACAGCAGAAATGTAGATTGTTTAAAATCCAATAGGTTTGTAAGGGAGAGAGCAGCATGTGATAACAAGATGAGGGAAAAGATCAAAATATATCCACAGGAAAAGAATTTACTTACACTGACACTAGAAGAATAGATTTTTCATGGACTTGAAAGGAGAACAGGAAAAATGACAATGCACAGCTAACCTTAGGAAAGGAGATCAGAGATGTATTAGTGTGTGTGACTGCACTGCAAAGCACTGCTTCAGTGTCTGTGCTGGCACAGACTGCATGGAGGCAGGAGCTAAACGATCTGATGTGTCTAATTAACTGCTACATTTGCTCCAGTGCAATTTCCAGGCACCCAGAGCAGCTCCTGTCACCACCCACACGTGCTGAAACCACCTTGCTCCAAAGTTTACCCAGCACGAGGCAGACAGCAGTTCGTGTAGAGCTCTCACTCCTGCTCAGCCCCACTGGCAAAGCAGCCCCACCAAGGGAACACAACACTGCCACACAAGCACTGGCAAAGCTGAGAGTGGTGAGAATTACCCACATTTTTGACATAAAATTTTGCTCATCATCATGAACAGTGAAACAGCAAAGTAAACAAACTGTTTTGTTGGGTGTTTTCCCTCTCACCAAATAAAAACACACTGTAAAACATCAGTTCTTAGGAAGGATAAATGTTACTTTCAGGCAATGAAATGAGACACTCTCAAACACTGCTCACAGATTGTTACTCTTGAAACTTTAGAACCAGCTCCATTTAAATTTGATTCTTGCCTGAGTCATGGCAATGTGCTTCAATTCGATGGTACAATATGACTAAGAAAAGACAAATATTTGGCAAACTAGTATCATTTTATTTCCAAACCACTAACGAGCTCACCATGCCCCTTTGGGGACGTTTACACTGAATTTTGCAGCCAGTGCAGTAAGGAAAAGTAGCACTTTTGGAAACTAAACAAAAAGAGGAGAAACCCCAACTATATATGAGGCTTTAATTTGTGCAGAATCTTCTAAAGACTTTTCTGAGGAAGATAACAAAACCAGTGTTAGATAAAACTGAGGCTAAGGAAGAGGTCTGGGTTTAAAGAACAACTCAGACCCTCTGGACATGTGGAAGTAAAACACTTTTTAACCAATTCCTCAGCATTTAATGGCACAAACCTCTCTGTGCTCTGCAGCAACTGCTGTTAGAACTGCTGGTCACACACTGGTGCTCAGAGGTGGATCCAAAACAAGGAGTAATTACCCACAAACACTTACCAAAGCAAACTTAAAGCCTCGGAGGGAAGGCTGCACAGTTAGCTTTATGCAAGCAGGAAGGAGGCTCAGGAATGTCACAGCAAAACTAAAGGGTTTGGGAAGAAAAACAGGTTCAATACATGAGGAACTAAATCCATGAATACTTCAGGCTCTGTAGGCCTAGACCTGAATTCGGCAGTTAGTCAAGAGACAGGACTGTGAGCACTGACTTCTAAGAGCACTAAAATTCTTTCAATCTGCAAGTTTTAACTCTTTTTTCATCAGGCAGCTAAAATCACTACAGAAACAAGCAGGGAATTTTTCAGTCCTAACACCACTGCTCAAACTTCTTTGAGAAAACTTCCTCCTCTTGCAAAAAATAACGCAGATAAAAACTACCTACAGCACTTGAGTTATGTCTTACCTGAGTTTTAGCTGAGTTTGAGGCGATACCATATTCTTGACCTTGATAAGGACACTTAGACTGCACCAAATATTGGCTACTTTATCCTGGAAGGAAATAAAGAGGTAATTAGTGATAATTATATTCATTTCAACTCATGTTTGTGGCAACAATGGGGCATGGGAGGTTGGGAACTGTGGGGTTTCTACTGTAATACTGCAAAAACCAGTTGCAGATGTACACCATATTCTTAGATGTATTTGAGATTATTCTGCTCTTCAAAAACAGGGAATTTTTGAGAGACTCACTTCAAACATGCTCTGAAATAACTGAGGAATAGCTCTTCAGCACAAGATACAACTATGTAACTCACAGGACCACACAGCTGGTGAAAATAAGGCTCTGAAACTGTCCCTCTGCAAAAACCAGTTGCAGATGTACACCATATTCTTAGATGTATTTGAGATTATTCTGCTCTTCAAAAACAGGGAATTTTTGAGAGACTCACTTCAAACATGCTCTGAAATAACTGAGGAATAGCTCTTCAGCACAAGATACAACTATGTAACTCACAGGACCACACAGCTGGTGAAAATAAGGCTCTGAAACTGTCCCTGACTCTGGCACATGTTTTTTTTCCGTGCTGCCACACCCCATGACACACCTGCCTGTGCCTAGCTGTGCTCACTGCCTGCTAGCAAGGACAGAGTTAACCTCTAATAAATCAAGAAGTCTAAAGACATTAGCAGTTGTGCTAGGATCACTTTCAAAATTAAATTTGTAACTGCAGCTCTCATGCTCCTGAAACTCAGCCCTAAGCAGCTGCTGGAGGCACAGCTGTGTGGACATAACACCAAGGAGGCACTTGCACCAACAACTGAGCCATCTTCCTCACGTGCTCACCAGCAACAGGGAATCTGCTGAGGATTCCGAGGGAACAGAGGGTTTGGCAGCACCAGCAAACACCAGTTCACAGCCAGGAGGATTTTACAGCCATCAGCATGTGTTACTGGGCTGCAAATGGGAACGGAGGCAAGGAACCTGTCAGACACGCCCTGGGATGAATTACTGTGCATTGCTTACGTGGACAATTCTCATTTTATCCCCATTAGCATCCAGCAAGTCACTGCCCTGAGCAGCTCAGGAAATATCTGGGCTAATATTAGACTAAAATCCTTCAGCTCTTTAGGACTCATTGGTTACTGTCATTTACAAATTTTATTTTACAACTTGGTACTGAATAAAAAGTGTGAGGAGTTCTTTATAAACTTCACATAATTCCCAAGGAATAGGATCAGTCTGAGGAGCCTGTGTGAGGTGGTGGCTTTTTTTTTTTTTTTGAGAATATGATTGGTCTTTGTTTTGTTTGTTTGACACAAACTAGCAGAGAATACCCTAAGAACACTTCCATACAACTGCCTGAATAAAATGCTGCCTCTAGTACATCAGCATTAACTTCTGAAGTGCCAGTTGTGATTATTATTTACATCTGAACAATATTAAAAGCATAATTAGGATGAATCAAACCACACAATCATTTGCTTCAATCCCTGTGACAACAAACCCTGGAAATTCAAGCTTCATTTTGGTGGCTGAGCTTCAAGTTGAGAGTCTGCTTTTAAAAGTGTAATATTGACTCATGCCCTAATTAAGCAGCAAAAACTCCCTGAGACTTGGGAAATGAGAACTCTCTTGTATCCCAAAATTCCTGTGGCATTGCCATTAGGTGAATGAGTAATTGCTTCACTGGGTTAAGGCTGTGGTGGTACTCAGCACCTTGCAGGATACAAGTGTCCATAGCCTGAGGGAAAGGAAAAGCAGAAGTGGCCTAAAACTTTTGGAAAATATTGCGGGAACTTGACCGAACTGGGTTTAAAAGGAAGTTCTAGGCTGTACCCAAAACACTTTTTAGTTTTTGAATAAATAATCCCTTTGAGAAGAGCTGAGCAGAACCAAAGACAGCTTGAAGCTGTTCACTCTCAAGGTGACATCTTCTGACACTGTCAATTACTATGGAATCTATTTCAATGGAAAAATGTATGGATTGAAGTACGGGTTTGATGATGGGATAAGTGTTGTCTACTGGTATAATATCCTGGAAGATGCCAGCTGAGCTGGGGTTAAACACTGGCTTAAATAACTGGCAAGAAATGACTGCTGAAGAAGCCAGCTCGGATTACTCGGCCTGTGGTGTGTCTCCCACATGAAATCCCTAAAGGTCAGGCTGAAGGTTTCTCAAGGGATCTAAGAATACAGAGCAGGGGCAGTGGGTGGGGGAGAAGAAAACATGCATGCCTCAAAGAGTCTTCTGAGTACTTGCATGATTTGTTCCACGTCGGCAGAGAATGGGAGCCAGCAGACAGCGAAGGAAGCCACCACTGTCCCTGCCAGTTTAGCTAACAACAGTAACCTGCAGCCAAGGGAGAAGTTCACATCAGAACAAGCAATCCAGCAGAGAGACATCTCCACAGGAAACACCTGGCAGGGGAGGAAGATATCACACACAGGATCTCCCACTAGACATGAAATGAGATGCCCACGTTCAGCTAAGGAGTCACATTCCCCACTGCCAGGCATTTTCCTAAGATCAAACAGTTTAAAGTCACTTACCCCTTTCCTTTCAGTCCCTTCTTGAAGCACTTTCCAAGTAAGTAGCAAAAAAAGGGCAGAGAATGGTAGAGCTCCATTTGCTTGTAATTTAAGGCCAAGCAAAATGCCACTGAGCCCAGAAGGTCCCAGTCATAGGACAGGCAAAGGACACCCCACAAGGCAAGGCCAAGGCTCACTGAGTTGTATATGGTTTTTTGTGTCAAGGACAAGATACACATCTCAGTTCTGGAGTCAGTAATTAATGCCCTGAGGGACAAGCAGAAATAGCTTGTAAAATAAGCTTTTCCATGTTGGTTTTAAAAGCTCATTGCCAGTTGGGACTAGATTGTTCACAGAGAAGTAATTGTATTTCTCTTTAAAGTGCAATTTTTATATTTCAGAGGTTGCACAGGCAAATATGAGGACAAATCACGTGTGTTAATTACACATGTATCGTATATTCAGTCAACCAAGCTCTTGGTGACAGTATTCTGCAATAAGTAAACATTTTCCTCTTGGTATTTAGCAAGGATAAAGCTTTCACAGGCTTCTCCTTCCTAAGAGATATGTGCAGAATATTCAAATACTTCAGTGCTTAAATTGTATACAATATAGTTCAAGGACTTGTGAGGTTTTTGTGATTCCATTAGCCTCACAACATACTCTCATCCATGACCAGTTCCCTCAGCAGCTAATACTGCACAAACAATGAATAATAGTTACAAAAAGCAATGCTGCCTTATGACTTTGAGAACATGTTCACAACATCAGTGTTACTACTACATTGCAACTAATTATTAGCTTAGTCTTTTACTTAAAAAAAAATAAGAGAGAAACCAGAATGATAGAATGATATAACAGTTTGGGTTGGAAGGACCTTAAAGCTCATCTCCTTCCACCCCCTGCCATGGGCAGGGACACCTTCCACCAGACCAGGTTGCTCCAAGCCCCATCCAACCTGGCCTGGAACACTCCCAGGGATGGAGCAGCCACAGCTGCTCTGGGCAACCTGTGCCAGTGCCTCAGCACCCTCACAGGAAGGAATTCCTTCCCAATATCCCATCTTTCTCCCCCCACTATCCGCCGGAAGCCATTCCCTGTGTCCTGTCCCTCCAGGCCCCTGTAAAGAGTCCCTTGTATTTCCTGTACTGCCAGAAATGTCACAATACTTTGCTTTCTCTTTGTCAATACAAGCAGCTTTGATGACACATTCAGGCTGCCCATGTTGCTATCAGCCCACTCACAGTTCCCACTTGGAATCATCAGGTATACTTGAGACCTAATTGATTTCACAACCACAAACTGTCACACCCAAAAGCTCTGATCTTGCAAAGGTGCAGCAGTTGAGCTTAAGTAAATCTTTGACTTTCTGGCAGCAGCTCACAGTGACACTGATCACATAAGTGGGCTGGAACAGCCCAGAGCAGACTCTGCAGCACATCACTGTTCCCACAGTGGATGCTGCATCTACATCACCTCAAAGGAGGTCAGCACTGGCTTGTTGAGATGCAAAAGCAGTATAAAACCAGAATTATTAAGAAGACCCACCTGACCTGTGAGGGTGTCTGCCACCAATAGCGACCAATTAGCCCTGGATTCACCTCACTTTATTACAAGCCCAGACAGAACAGCACATTTCATAGGACTGAACATTTTACACAGCTACACCTGACACTCCTCTGCCATCCCAAGAAGATCTAAGGTGATTCCCTCCTAACACAAATCACAGGAGCACAGTCCATCATTCTTTCACTGTCACTGCACCACTGATGTTGTCTGCAATGAAGTGACTGACAGAAATACGAGCTTGAGGCATAGGAAGAATTATATTCATGTTTCAACTGATTTGTCCCAATATCTATGATTTTTATCTCCAGCATGTTCAGGCTTAGTTTTCTTTCCTCTCTCTGTTTTGGGGCAGGTAGAAGCCCCTCAGATGAGTTTGTGTATAAAAGTAACCTTGTGCCCAGCTAACAAGTACTAAAGAACAGTGTTACTCCATAAACAGAAACTCCTTTCAGCAGAACAAGGATACTGGAAGTGTCCATGGTCAATAAGAATGAGGCCTGGATAGAGCAGTATGCAGAGAGCACTGGAAACCTGGAAAGAAGGATCAAAAAAGAGAGGGGGGAAATAATTATTCCAAATTAGACATTAGACAGAGGAACTTGTACTTCTCCAGTACAAAAATGTGCCCCTCCCTGGTGCATCCTGTACATAAGAATCTTGTTCTCTACAAGGAATCTTCTGCCAATAATATTTTGAGGAACAAAAATGGATACAGAGAGAAGAAACTGAATAGAGAGCAACTTGCCCTTTGCAAACAGCTCAAAGATCACCCACACCCATCTTAAACCACACAAAAAAATCAGGAGACTTGCTATTCTGAGAAGTACTGAATCTCCTGTAAGGAGTGTGGAAGACAAATCCCAGATCCCCCCACCATGCCACACCACAGATCTTAGCTTTAATACTGAAGTAATACATTCAGGAAGAAATATAATCCAGAAGTTCATGGCAACTAAACTTAAGAGCATCTTGTTGTTGAAAGCATTGAAATAATTGCTATTTTAACCTTTTTAACTGAAAAGCCTTTAATAGGAGCTGTACTGATTAGCATCAGTTTTACATGGAAGCCATGAAGGTGTCCTAGATGTTAATTCACTCCTCCTCTTACATTTCTGCCCTGTTCTAACAGTGTTTTGTTTCATCTCCACACACACCAGGTACTTGCCTTCTTTTTCGTGGATGTTTCTTTCAAGGAAAAGCAGTATAAAATAACTGCAGGAATATAAATCAGCAGATCAGCAACAAACACTGAAAAATAAAGATTATGTCCATGTTAGAATCCTCGCACAAGGAGGAGACAAGGAACAAACACAGGCAAATAAACATTAACATAGCAGAAAGTTCTTTATTAGGATAAATTGGGCAGTCCCACTTCAAAGGAGGAAAAGAAACAGGTCCACAGAATTTGATCTTGTTAATGTTTCTAACACTCTCATTTCTGCTGCCCAAAGCTGCTGCTTCCACGTGTTCAGCTGTCCTGGCTGCTGGCACAGCCTCAGTCAGTGAGGGAACACACTCTAGTTCCTCACATGCCACAACCAGGGGAGGCATTCAGAACGCCCCAGAGAAATTGGCTACAACTAGCCCCACTCAGGTTGTTTGATGGGACAGAGTGTCTGGGGGCACAATTAAGAAGCTCCAGAGTGTAACAATCTCTGTTATCTCTACTGATGCGGATAAACAGACTAAAACTAGTGATTTGGCTTTGTCCACCTGCCTACAGCAAGTATGTGTGAGAGGGCTGACAAGAAAACAACCAGCAGGTTCCCCTGCCTGGGACTATGTCAGTTCTTGAGTAGTGTCTTAGGAGCGTAAGGAAAACCCATTTCTATAAACCACTGTGCAGTGATTTCAAGAGGGAAAGTATTCTTTGCCTCTTTTAGCCAAAGACTTTGGAAGAAAATGTTTTCATCCATCACTTCTTCAGTGATGAATTGTTTTATCAGCATAAGCCACAACCACACAAATACACCCAAGGTGTTAGCAAAACAAAACACTGAGACTTCAGATGAAGCTGACGTTGTCCACTCTGAGTTATTTTAATGCATCCTTCTAATGGCTGCTGTGAAAAGTGTTTATCAGCTCTCCAGATCCATCAGTGCTTTGTCAAGTGAGTTGATTTCAAAATTAATAAAGACCATTTCAAGGGTAATTAAGTCCTAGTGATTTTTATTTTGTTTTCAATTCAATCAATTACCAGGGAGCAGACTGAGAGCTTTGGGAAGTACAGCAAAGCTATTGATGAGCTACCAATTCTGCTGCTGCAATCAGAAAGCATTTCGTGGCATTTGAGTGTTAGGAATGCAAAAGGCAGATTTGAAATGAAGGAAAATAGAGAGGGGACAAGAAGAGTTCAGGGGGCACAGTGATACAGTTACCAAATTATTATCTACACATTTTTTCTGTACTTGTTTTATCCTTTTCTTTGTAGAGGCAGTTCAAAAGAACCAAACAGTCACAGAAATGACTGCAGGAAAATGAAATTTAGGATAGAAGTGTTAAAATACATTTATACATTTTTGTTTACACAAATAATATCTAATCTCCCTTTCAGATCAAGAATCCTGCTCATAAGGAAAAAAGTCTGTCTACTTGGAAATTAATTTTACACTAAAAACCAAGTAAAAAGATTTTATCAGAATGGAAGGGAAAATAAGATTAAAAAAATTAAAAATGAGTCTATGCTACAAAAAAGTAGTTAGGTTTAGAGTTTTTAATTAATAAATTGGGTTGAAAACATGTTTGTATATTTGCTATTTATCAGCTCCACAAATGAAGGCAGAAGAGAAAAGAGCACAGGAGTTTGGTTCATAACTGGACCTGCAGAATCACCCAAGGGAAAGAACTGGGACCACATCAGCGAAGCCAGAGAAGCTGCACATTAAAGATGGCAAACTGGTGAGCCAGGTGTGAGGTGATGCCAGGAAGTGCAGTCTCCCTACCTGTTGTCCGCATAAATAACTTATGGGGCTGACTCTCGTACCCCCGAGAGGTGTGCAGAGCAATCCAATCAGGATTGATTAACTTGGCTCTGTAAAACAAAGCACAGACACATCAGAACACAGACACTTCTCCTTTCCCTTTGCACTCCTCTCAGCAATAAAGATGACACACACAGGAGCATATTCCAGGAATTAAGATGGATGAGAACTGTTTCAAAGAGCAATAGTGATCAATGAGGGATTTTCCTCTCTGCTGGATCCGTTTACACTACAGACTATTCCTACAGACTAATTAAAGAAATCACCTTTGGCAACAGTAAAAATGGAATACAATATTGGGACAAAAATGGAATACAATATTGGGAAAAAAATGGAATATAGCATTTATTAGGACACGACAACCACCTTCAGTCTGGTTCCACTGCCTTCAAAAAAAACAATTGTAAATACCTTTCATACTGAAGTATTAAATATAAACCATTTACAGTTCACACAGATGCCCCACATAGCTCTGCCTGTGCACTTTAACCTACATTCTGATTCCATAAGGCTCATTCCAATGGCAGTAAAGCCCTTGTGGAAAAAGTATTCCAATAACAGAGTTCTATTTACATGATATCCAGTCATCAAATGTCACTTGGGCCCTCCACACATGACAGCCTTCCCAAGCAAAGCACCAATTCCTCCAGCACTTTTCCCTGGGCATCACTGATCCAACAGTGGCTTATAGGGAAAGCTAAATATCTAAGGCAACACCTGAACATAAGGATTTGGCAACAGGAACGTAACACACAAGTACTTAAATGCTGAACTCACATGTAAGCACACACAAAGCTGTGGTAGGCTGTCAGAGGTGGATAATCAAGGCCCCAGTACAGCAGGTTGTTATCACTTGTGTTGAAGTACCTAGAAAAAATAAATGGAATTTAAAGGTCTACTTTTCCAGCTTGGGTTTGGCCCAAGGAGAAGGCTGAATATTAAATGTATTCCAAGACCAAAATAGCAGGTAGCAACTTCTTTGTCTGCTGAATTTTACTTCACAAAGCAACAAAGCAGCAACAGTGACTCAGAGTACATCTGTGGCTGCAAAACAGATTTAAAGAGCTGCTGAAGCTCACTGAGGTGGAGAGGGAAAATCCTGGACGTGAAGAGTTGGACAAAAATGCAGAGCCTCAAAGCCTGCACAGATTCAGCTGTACACACCTGCTGTGGCTCTAGCTTTGGTTCTGTGGTGGCTTTGCTCCTCACCCCCAGCTGCAAACCACACCTACATTTGTCATGCATGTCAATTATGGCAGAAGAGAGCAGAAAACTGGCCAAAAGGGAAATAAAATCAATGCAGGTAAATTTCAAAATAAATGGAGTTCACTAATGATTTTTCCTTATATTAATCCTAGTTTCTGTTTGGGCATTTAATATGTGGCAATGACTTGGGGGCTAAAAAGTTCCTTAGAAGGCACCAAGTTATGAGAGTAACTGCTGAATAACCAACACCAGGTGAGGAACCTCAACTAGATACATCAGCCACAGCCACTTTAGTTCAGCCTCAAAACTCAGGTGGATCACGTGAGAGAAAGGCAAAGGAATTTCCCATTTGTGACTATGTTGTGTCAGTATTTCTATAGAAGACTGGCAGCAGTTAAAACTGTTACCTCTTCCATGGCAGAAATAGAAGATTTTATCCAAGGAAAAGTTACAATAAGGCACCAGACTCATTCTGTCTCAGTGAAACACTGACTAGTCTCCTCCAGCTGCCACAGGGCAAGCTCTTGGCTCTTCCAGCTTCTCTCTTCAAACGCAGCCAATTTTTGACATTTATGACAGTAAATGATATTTCTTGAATTCTTTATGAGCTGCCTGAAGTGTCTTAGGAACTGATGATAAATCATATTTCTTTGAGTTGCATCTCTGCTTCTTATCCTGCAACTCAGGATTGCTCATGCCAAGGCACTGCAGATCCTTCATGCAGAGTGTAAGAGTTTGCAACTTTCAGTGAAAACTTTCCAGTGTTGACTTTTGATTTTCTAATTTTACCTTCCAAAAACTCATCGTTTGAACAGGAAAAAAAACCAACCTATGCCCAGTACCATTTAGCTGAAAAGCTTTCAGAGTTTTAATTAGCAGTTCTTAAAGTAGACTTAAATAAATAATGTCAGAACTCTAAAGGATAATATACATAATAATACAGAGTATTTCAACCCTAGACTCTAATCCCTTGCATGTCAGCCAAGATGTGCTTCTGAAACACCCCAAGACTGACTGACTGTGTATTGTTACTCAATTCCCAAGGCAGACCCATTCCCAAACCCAGAGAGTTCCACGTGGCCTCTGGAAGGCCTGGGAGTGATGGCTGCTATAACTCCTAATTTTAAGTAGACATAGCTCAGTGTAGCAGAGTAGATCAAAGCTGCCAACTCTATCATGATGTAATATCCCTTACCCCAACTCTGGGACAGGGAGGGTTTGGCTATCCCAGGAAAAAAATGTAGAAGAGAAAGGGTAATATAATACAACAGGACGATCTGAGGCCACACAGAGTCATCTGCAGAGTTCACAGAAATCCAACTGAATATTCTCTTCTCTCATATTAATCTGATCCCCAACAGACAGATGAGAGAAAA